TTTCTATTAGTTTGTAAGAGTACGTAGACTTTTGTTGACGCAGACATTGGAGTTCCTTTTGTTTTTAATTAATATTATTATGTTAAGTTTGAAATTTCACTGTTTTTCTTTTTTAGTTTAGAAGAAAATATATTAGTTTATAATCCTGCATTAACATTTTTTAATTTAACAAAAATTTGGCCAAGTTTCAGTGTCATTTGCGCAAATACAACAAGAGTACGGTGACTTTAGTGGCACACTGTATATTAACAGAAGAATGTGTGCAAATACTTTAAAGACTACGTTCCCTCATTATGGCCAAATGCAAATCATTTTTACTACCCTCTGATTTGAATATTATTGGACAAAATAGGTTCGAGTTTAAATGTGATTCACGACTTTTAAAATATGCAAATCCTCGGACAATAAATTAAATATTACGAGCTTAAATATTTGCATGCAAATATTTGTAAATAGAAATTTGTAAATTAGAAATTTTAATAACTGAAGAAATGCATTATTGAAGAACTGTATCAAAACTATGAAAGAAACCGAAAAATAACGACGATGCTTAACTGTAATATTATTTGAATATATCAGGTGCGGTTCTGAGGTGCAATTATGTTTCCATATTGATTAGCGTGCTCCATGTCTAGCTCCGATTCGCAGCCAAATTTTGTTGGGCAACTGTTTGTGGCAAGTGAGACCCATGTGAAATGCCTGTGAGTATGCTAAATTTGTAGATTCTGATTATATATTGACTGACTCTACTCTCTCTCTCTCTCTCCCTGGTTAGTATGAAAAATTCAACAAAAAGCGCCGACAATGGGAGGATAGTGGAGTATTAGAGCTAATTAAACTATGGAAAGTTTGCGCCTATGAATTGCGCACAATCAAACGAAATGGACACCTTTATGTGGCTATGGCAAAGCAAGTGAGTAATGGGCAAATCAAATACAAATAATTTCAATGCCAATTCAATTTACTACAATTATCCAATTAACTGCTGCTATGTTGAATACATTAGTTCCTTTGTTAATGTCTATTCCCTCCGCTCTTATTTTTACAGCTAACGGGTCTTGGCGTACCCGTTACCGCGCTAGAAGTACACTTTAAGGTTAATAATCTAACACAGCGTTACAGACAGGAGCAAAAGACATTTGAGACAACGGGCATCATTAGCACGTGGAAGTTCTACAGCCAAGTGGATGATGTTTTCAAGAGTTTGGCTGCACACACCGGTTACAAGTGAGTGCCACAGCCAATGACAATCAATATGCCCCTTGGCTAATTCAAATCTATCCGCAGAGACAAACGCATGACGAGCTCCTCGAATGCCAGCAGCTTACCATCGACATCCGAGTCACCAGTTTGGAAAAATCCAATGTCTCAGCAAGAGTTCAATAGCAACAATACGGAGGGGTTCTACAAGTAAAAAGCAAATCTGAGCACATATTTATTGTACGATATTAATTGGTGTTTGCTTGCAGAACGGAGTATGGCATGCATCGCCACTTTATGGACCACTCCCAGCCGCCGCCGAATGCGGGCAATGTGGATAATTTTATGGCCTCATCGGCGGCGGTGGCAGCTGTGGCGGCGGCTGCCTCGGCGCGGCTCGCCGACAGCAATATGGAGCAGCAGATGCAGAATACGGCCGGCGCCAGTGGAACCGGCCCAGGTGGCAATACCAATGGCGGCGTGCCCAACTATAATAAAATCAAAAAGTCCCATGAAGATTATGACAAATTCGTGGACATTGTAAAAAACATTGTGGACACACACAAGACAACGCCCGATAAAGTGGACGCGTTTGCCGACTTTATTAAGTCCTATATGCGACGTTGGCCGGAACGGCTGCAGGACGAGGCCATCAGCCACATGACAAACTATGTGGTTGTTAAAAACATGGAGCACAGCATGGGCAGTGTGCCCGGCGTTAGTCTGCACAATCCTGAGGGCGTGAACAATCGGCAATAACAATACAAGCAGGAGCCCAACAACTAAAACCCGATCCGCGGGAGTTGTTGGACGATCGTCGTGGCGGTCGTAGTTTTCAGCTCCACGAATCCAAGAACAAGGGCAACAGCCAGAATTTACTTAAATCAAATGTGGCGCAGAGTTACTTAAAAATATTTAAAGAAAACAAAAAACAAAAAAAAAAAAAAAAACACGAAAAAAAAAAATGAAACAGGAATTATATATCTGCAAACAGCAACTGAGAGAGATCGGTCAGTTTTGCTTAGATCATATTGTAAACGATTTCAGCAGTATTTTTTGTATAGTAAAAATATACAATAAATTTTTTAGTTGTATGCCAGAGCATTTCGCTGTGCTTCGAATTGAGTTCGATGTAGTGGAATCAATACACACCACATACACACACACACACACAAATACACACGTACACAAACACTTGATTTGTAGAGTATAGAAAGTACAATACGATTATATGTAATATGTTTAGATATCATTTCCTACTGTTAGCTGTAAACGACAAAAACCTAAATGAATAAACGCTTTAAAAAAAAGACAAAAACAAAGTCGAAGGTGAACTGAAATCCGGGTTTATCTGAACAGGATTACATATATATTACAGTCTATTGTAATACCCTCAACTAGAATGAATCACAAATGTTTTGTAAAGTTGGAATTTTATTAGCTTCAAATGCGCTGAATTTGACACGCGACACTGTTAAACATATTCGCACTGGACGTGGCCGTGGGCGCAGTGGGCGTGATCAGGAAGCGGGCAAAGGTGCCGCCCTTATTGTCAGCCAAGCGTCCCGGGTTGATGACCAGACAATCATTGACCAGCCGTATGAAATGCCGTTGATCACTGGGCAGGATGAGCACGTTGGGCAGCTGCTTGAGCTGTGCATATTTCTGGGCCAGCTGCGAGTCGTAGGACATGTTCTCATCGGCTGGCGGGCAGACTGGATAGAAGGTGCCCTGATTGAACAGATGATTTATGGCGCGATGCATGCGCTCGCCGGCGTTAGCGGCAAACTCTTGGCTCAGCAGATGATCCACCACATCTGTGGAGCTGACGCCCAGCGTGATGCCATCCAGATCGACCAGCGACGGATCGGGTAGCATATGCAAATTGGGATATGTTTTGCGCACCATTGGCGATGGTGTGGGATAAACTGCTGGAGTCATGGCATCCTTCTGGCTGCTGACCAGCAGCACTGTGGTGCTGGTGCCCACTGCCTCCATGATGCCCGCAATCATCTTCTCAAAGAACGACTCGAAGGTCTCGGCCAGCTCGACGACCAGCTTGTGCTCGGCATCTAGGAAGGGACCCGTCAGTAGCAGCACGTCGGGTCTGTGCTCCTGGAGATACTTGAGCAGCTGGTGCATCGGATCGTAGAACAAATCCGTGCTGTGGGTATACGGTCCGGCAGCAACCACAAAGTGCACATCGCGATCCACTTTTAATGGCGGTGGCGGCGTCAGTTTTCGATCTGTGTAGATCTCTTCCACCACAAAAGTGTCACCGCGTGGTATAAATCCTTTGGCTAGCACCACCTGGCCGGGGAATATGCTAGCCGACTTGATTTGCGAAAAGTTGAGGGCCAGACACTTCTCGTCCGTATTGAGCACGGCTAGCAGCGCGGAGTGCGCATCCAGTGGCCCGTCATCGTCGGAATGTATCATGCCCACGGCATGGAGTACGTGGAGTGCGTCCAGCGTGTGTCTATCCTGCGGATACCAGCTGCACTCGGCGGCACCAGTGCTGCCCAGCTTTTTCTCCACCAAGGCCTGGCCAATATCGACGATCCGATCGTGGAGATCATCGCATCTGTCGTAGAGCAGATCGTTCATGTACCTCAGATTAGAGATTGTCAATGGGGCATCATTATGAAGCAATTTCTGGACCACGGGTAGCGTTTGCTCGATCTTCGACTGCCACGTGCAGGCTGTTATAAGCTTGGGATGACCAAAGGAGTCTACAATATCACCAGGTTTTCCATTCGTCGTTGTTGTATGCGCAGCTGGAGTTCTCTTTGCAGATTGTGGCGTAAAGCTGGCCGGGCTGAAGGCCGCACCACTCTTCAAACGACTCTGCTTATTTACTGTTTTAGGCGTACTCGGCTGTGGGGAACCAGATTTTCCCACATACTCATCCATCATGGGATCATCTTCAATCAGGCCGTAGGTGGCTAGAGAGCTGGCTTCCAATGCAGCGGGCTGGGATTTGGTGTAGTGTGTTGTCTTCTTGTTGCCGATCTTTTCACGCTTCACTTGTAGAACCTTACGTTCGAATTCGCCAAGATTTTCGTTCGTCGGCTCATCTCCATTAAGGTGGGACAAACTGAATGCCATCCATTGCTCCACGAATTCTGTAGCATCGTTAATGCTGTAGGTGAGAGCGAGTTCCATGCATTTTTCCAAGACTGGGCCACTCGGCTCTATGCCCATTTCGTCAAATTGCTGTTGTAGTTCGGCTTCCATTTAGTTCGCGTCTGTCTAATTTGTAAACAATTATTTAGCTACGGTTAGTAAACAACCTTTTACCGAATGGTATTTTGGCGGGAAACCGATAACATGCCGTCTGTTACCAGCTGCAATTGACATTCACAGCGAAAATTCGATTGGTTTAACCGATAGACCGACAGCACTGTAATCGGTGGGTGATGCGTTGTCCAACACATTACAATAGTCAATGCAACAGAACAGACCTTTTCTCGGGCGTATAACTAAATTAATAATAATTAAATTTGTAGTAAAAAAACATTAGTTAGAAAGGTGTGCAATATGTTAAATAGAAAGATTGTTGCGCTCATGCAGCACCAGAAAATGACGCAAAACTAGGAGCCGAAACACCAGCAGCAGCAGCAGTAGCAACAACAACAACAACGGCCCTGCAGCAACAATACACAAACAGCAACAACAACACGGAGAAAACATAATTTGGTCAATTTGCATATTAAAATAATAAACGAAACAGAAAGCGGATTAGGTAATTCAGGCACAGCACATATAAAATGAGTAAACTGGAAACGGATTCAGACAGCTCTGAGGAATTTTTTGATGCCGAAGATACAACACCTAATCGCTCCGCAACACTCTGGTAAGTGGAGCCCCCGCTCAGACCCTCCAACTCATGCAGTGACTCACCCTATTGACGTGTGTATTACTCTTTCGTGTTGTTACAGTCGTAAATTGCCAGCGGATTGCGCACAGGAGTTCATCTTTCCGGAGCCAGCGGTGCGTGTAAATGCGGCCGCCTCTTCGGACAGCGATGCAACGCCCATTGGCGCCAACACACCCGCCACCCGCAGCCCGACCAATAGCCTGGGCGCTCGGCTCAAGCAACAGGATGCGGCTGCAGCCGCTGCAGCGGCCGCGGCGGGCATTTTCGTCGAGCCCAAGGCAGTGAAGGGCGTGGTAAGTGCTGTGAGTGGGCGGCATAAATTGCTTTTTGCTCTGATTTGAGTGCATGCCTTAATGATACCAAATGTTTTGTTAGCTGTTCAGTTGTCATACCCATTCCTTTTAGAGCCAATCGCTCGTACCCATTACAAATTCTTAACACGTCTCGCGTTTTCCCTTTCTGCTCTGTTGCCCACTGTGTGCAAAGAAAAAAACAAAAAAGAATTAAAAACAAAATCAATGCAAATTTAAATGTGCCGATTTCACTGCGCTTCCCCCAAAAACTAAAACAATACAAATTAATTTACCCCTTCTTCTGCCTGGCCCCCTCTTCCCCAGTTGCCATCCATATGGTTTGTCTGCTCATATGGTTTTCTCTCTATTACTCAAGCAACCCATTTGTGTTGTGTTTGTTTTTATAATTCACGTTTGCGCCCCTGTGAGCTGCGTAGCTTTGTCAGAGATTTGCCGCAGCTTGTCATCAGGCGGCCGGTCCGACAGGCGCATATAAATACAGCGAGGGCTACTTAATGGGTTTAGTATATGGCTAAGCTAGCAAGCGAGAGTTTCCTCTTCTTTTTTTTTCTTTTCTTGTATAATATGTTTGTGCATATTTAAGCAATATTTTATTGAAAATACAGTGAAAACTTTCATTTCTCATCAATCACATTTGAATACCTATTTATAGCTCTTCTTGTAGCTCATCTCGTATATATATGTATATAGATATATATGTATATATATGTGTGTGTATAAATTGAACCATCTATTAAGGCACTTTGTTGATTTCATAAAATATTTTTATATGCCACTTGTTGACTTGTTTTTATATTTCGACCAATTTTTTTTTATTTTTGGCATCATGTAAATGAATTTAATTTGTTCCCGGGCATTTGTTAACTATTTATAAAATTAACAATATTAAAGTGATTTTACTGTTGCCCCGCGCTCTGATTAACGCAATAATTATCAAAGTTTGTCCTTATCAGAATTAACACTGATAATAATTGTTGCTTCGTGCTCTTATCAGGTGTGTATTATTTATCGTTTTTTTCCTATTTTTTATTTACGTAACAATTAATAATTATTTTCGGTCAGGGTTTGGCCCATAAAGCAGGTGTAATACGCCGCAGCACGTTTTCATTCACATTCTACTCGCAATATATTATAATAGTCAGAGTTGTCTATTAAGGGGAGCTAGGAGGGAGGACGTAAGGTAATAGCTCTTATCAAATAGCGTCGAGTGTTCCGTAAATGTTGAGCTTGATAATAACTAATATACGTATTTTATTGGCCCAGTTTCAGGCGGAACTAGACTCATTGCTTAGCTTAAACAAATAAATTAGGTTTTTTATTTACTTATTTTACCATGTATTTAATTTACATACATTGTTAATTTATTTGTAATTTGCTTTTTATTTTCATATTTTGTGCGCGTTTGGTAAAAAAAAAAAAACAAAAACAAAATAAAATATTTATTAAAAATATGAATATAAATTTCAATTATCATAAATATGTTGTATATATTCAATAAAAAATAAAACCAATTAAATATATATATATATATAAATATATATATGTATATGTATATCGTGCCATATAGTCTGGTAGACAACGCTTTCAAGAACTACGTAAATGCATGAACCACGATGAAGATGATAATCCAGGAAATACACTCACACCTGATTCTCAGGTATTATATCTATTTATCTACATCAAAATTGTAGCCATTAGCTTTTAGCCGTATCTATATATATAATGCTCACGATTAAGCATCTTTTTTTCTACTATTCCTTGCTTTTGTTTTGCTTTGGCTTATTTTTTTTTTTTTTTGTAATGCTTGGCTAACTTTATTGTTATTTGATCCAAACCACAGAACAGCTCCATGGATGGCGTTTTTACCAACCGACCCACACATCCGTTTAAGGTCATTGAGAGCGATACGATGAGCATACAGAGCATGACATCATTGGGCCGTGTGGGTCGCATCTTAGCGGGCAGCATCGATCCGTCAGGTGAGCACGCATGTAGCAATCGTTTCGCATTCACTCACTCACACACAATTATTTTTCTCACATAGCAATCAGCGTTGATCGTGAATCGCTGGCCTCAATGAAT